TAAAATCAATATTTTGCAAAGTCCATGGCAAATACAATGAGATTAACAAACAATTTATTTTTTAGTTGAATGTTGACTGATGTTATTTTTTTTTTACAGTTGATTGGATATTAATCTGAATGGTCAATGGATTTTTTCTTCTTCCTACCGCCCAATCATGAAGAGAAGCACAAGGCAGTTGTGCTCGATGGTACCTGATCCTACATATGATTTAGGTGTGACTGGTCAGCAGGGGACGCTCACTCTTCCATGTCATTCATTTTCTTGTTTAATGGACTTTTGAGCTAGGATACTGTTTATTATATATCTCCATATAATGCTTGCTCCTGTTTGCTCTGCTATCACTTTTTGTGTGAATTGACTTTTGAGTTTTATTATTTTTCATTATCTCCTTGTTTCTTTGATAAGAATGTTTTATTAAGTTTAGTTAATTTTTTGTTTTGGAAAAAACTCGCATTATTATGTAATTTTTTGTGTGTGTATGTTTATTTCTAATGTTTCATTTTCATCAATAAATGAAAATTATAATGTTCTTATTAAAGAGTATCAAAAGCAGGCCTTGACATAAAAAAAAATTTGGTCGAAGGTTTTATATGCTTACTATCGACCTAACAGCGTAAAATATGTGCAGTTTTGTTTTTTTTTTTCAATAATTTATTGACAAAATGCAAAAAAGTCTATCTTGTCACTTTATAACTTAAAAGCTTTGATACACAATTTTCTATTAATGACCAAAATTAATTTATCCTCCCTCTTGATTGCTCACAAAATAATTAAGCATTCACTTGATGTCAAAATTCAAAGTATGTTTAAGAGGACATAATGTCTGGGGAAAGAATAAACTTTGTTTACCTATATCTGCTTCCTTTTTTATTATACAAAAAAGAGACAAAGAAAGACAACTCTTTACATATAAAATGTGGTATTTTTTACAGATAAATATAAAAAATTTTAATCAAGAAAGTAGAGTTTATACCTATGATATTATTTTCTATTGTTTTTTACTTCTTACTATATTTTTGAATTAATTTGAGGGGAAAGTAAAAATCCATTTACAGTATTGTAATATTTTTTAATGCTTTATAATGCTAAAATCATACAATTCAGTAGCCTAGGTATCAATTTTAAAATAGTCTCTAAAAATTTTCCTGGAATTTGATAGGTAGGAGATCTGTGTCTTGCCTGGAATATCCGGCTTTTTGTGTTTGATGCCCTTGCTCCGGGGCCATGAAATTGAAGCGAGCTCTTTTTTTAATCTCAATCTCATTTTAATAAAAGCTTAAGGAATTTTAGCGGGCAAATTAGATTGAGATAAAAAAGGAGTCCAAGTTATTTGGTACAAGACCCAAGTCATACTTGATTATGTTGAAGATTTTGTTGGTTTTTTAAACCCCTTTTTAAAAGATAGATTTTTAAGATAAGAAAAGATAAAAGAATGGATAAAGATAAAACCTTGATTGTTAAAATATATACGAGAATTGTCCAGTAAAATGGTGGACAAAGCGTTTTTCTCGGAAAATAATGTGCACACAAAGCTGAAAGTTCAGAAAATATCATATTTACATGTACATGTAAGTACATTTATTTTTTTTTCAGAAAATAAACAAAAATGTTTATTATGATTGAATGTGAACAGGGTATGGTCCTATGGTACACGTTAAAGAATTATTTAACAAGTTCTCTTTTTTTTTTTTCGAGACCCCGGGTACAACAAAACAGGATAATCTCGAAAGACGCTGTCACGGTAGATAATCGATGTAAGATTGCCAATTTTGTTGAATGATATTGAGAATACTGTTAATAACTTACTGATAGATCTTCAGAAGACCCCATATATGTGTGAAATTAGTTATGGAGGAATAAACAGATACACAAGTATGTGCTATGTGCATCAGTGAAAATTCTAAGAAGTAATTTATTGTGCCCTAAAAATTTAATGTTCGTAAAAAGTTATGAAATTGGCTTTAAGAAGAGTTAAGTAGGTGAATATGATAAATCATTGAAGAATATGACATGAAGAAGAACCTTCTGGAAATATGATGTCATTAATTTAGTACATTTCTACGTTTAATGCAGAGGAGCCTCAAAATGCATCATTTCTGTGCTTATTTTCCTTTAGAAAATAGTTTCTGCCACCGTCACCCACTTCAATATTTGGATGTATTATGTAAACTGCTTTGAAAAATCACATATCTCAGAATCTTTCGGGCGACGGTAACAGAGTATGTTTTCTGAAGGAAAATTCCACTGAAAATTGATGTCTACTGAGAGTTTTAAAGAAAATACGGGAAAATGCAACAGTTAATGACGTCACAATTAGCATTTAGCATATAAAAACTGATTTGTGTATTCTTACTGCATGGAATTCCAATGATTCAGAAAGAATAAATTAACATTTCTTATATCACTTCCATATTTTAGGAAAATACAGGGCTTAATGTGTATTGAAACTGTACCTTGTTCTTTAAACGGGACTTTTCCATTTTTTTTTAGCAAAAGGAAACGTGATGCTGTGTTAGACACTTTGACGTTATTATCCCTGCGCCGTAAGGCGATAAAACATAAATCATAAAATCTCAGAATTTGTTTATAAATACAATTAAAGAAGCAAAGTTTGATAATGTAATAATACAAGCATGGTGGTATATTTCTGCCACAACTTGTAGATGTCTAGTAGACTCGTCAGATACATATGTTGGCTTAGCAGAAATTCATGTCAATTTGTCAGATAAAAAAAAATCATCACAGTCAGCGACTTGGTATCTTGTTATTATAGCATGATACAAAACTGACATGTACTTACGTGTATCATAATGTAAAATAAGTATATATAATTTTCTGACGATGTTAATTTAATCACAATATTTTCTCACTTCTCTCAAAAATATGCATGTTTTTACATTGTATATCTATATACATATAACTAAACATTAAATTTTACACATATACCTTGCTTACTTTCATGATTACCTATACATGTATATCTTTGATCAATATCTTAACATTAATATTTTTAAAAAGTATTTAATATACTTATGGCAATTAAGCCAATAAGACAAAAATGGGCCTTAAATTATGTACGAAAAATCAAAAATGTGTAAAAATAAGTGACAACACTTTTTATGTTGATAAGACAATAAATATACAAATGATAACAAAACAAATGCAGAAACCTTTGAGTTTCCGTATAAGACCTGTTTTGACATTTTTCTGCCACCACTTGTCATATATATTATGTTGACTTGTCAGATATTTCTGTCAACTTGTCAGATATTCCTGTAAACTTGTCAGATGAATATATCTGATATGTCGATTGGTCCGATAAATATCAACTAGACATGGTATTCGATATCCTGTTATAACAGCATAAATTGATATAAAGCATAAAATGACATCTTCTTGTCATCATTATATCTGACAGGTTGACATGATATTATGACAAGTTGACATTAAAATCTGACAAGTAAATATATTTTTCTGACAAGTCGACATAGTTTTCTGGCAAATATGCTTGTTAGATGTGATGTCGGTTTGTCAGATAATGATGTAGTTTTTTTTAGATATTATGTCGACTTGTCGGAAAATTGTTACCATGCCAGATAATATATCGACTTGTCAGATTTTTTAATTGACTTGTATATAACATATGTCAAAAATAAATTTTACCAATGATGGACTAAACTAAGTACTGGCACATTTTATTGTTGAATTTTAAAAAAAGATAATCCAATTGACAAGACGACATAGTTTTATGACTAGACGACAAAAACATTGCACAGGTCAATCTATTTACCTGACAAGGGAAGGGAGGGGGAGAGAAATATTCCACCATAATAAACAAATCCATTGATCTGATAACCAGTTCAAACTTTTAAACCGTTCCATGGTACAGACAACTGATTCCAGAAAATAAAAGCAGTTCGTCCATTTGATGTACAGATAAACAAGCTTATGACGAACTGCCAGTGACCGAAAATTTTCCTGGCTAAATGAGTAATACTTTACATTTCCCGATCATGACAAGGAGCACACAGCGGGTGTGACCGGTCGGCGGGATGCTCACTCTTCCATGGCACCTGATCCCACCTCTAATGTTTTTAGAGGCCCTTGTTTGCTCTGCTCCTGTTTTATATTGTTTTATGGACTTTTGATCTGGAATACTGTTCGTTTTCTCCATATGTTTCATTTGTTAAGCTTACAATATATTCTAGCTGCAGATCTGTAGCGCTATGGTTTTATATATTTGTCTTTGACCATAACGCTACAGATCCCGTAGTGCAAAAAAGGTGCAATTTACGGCGCAATATTTTTTGCGCTCTTTTGGGGAGAATTTCTCCACATCCTAGCTTTGGTCAATCAACTACCTTTCACGTTCTAATTCTAGACACATGCTGTGGCCAATATGTATAGTTTATCCACCTCCCAACCATTTATATTTGTCTCTACAGGCAATAAACTCGCTGGATATGAATTTTCAGTAATCTAACAAATAATTTTGATCAAGCGAGTTTATTACTTGTAGAGACGACTATAAAGGGTTGAGAGATGGATAAAATATACAGATTAATTAAATAATGTGTCTAGAATTAGGGGTTGAAAGGTAGTTGATTGAACGATGCTGGAAAGTGGAGAAATTCTCCCCAAAAGAGCGCAAAAAATATTGCGCCGTAAATTGCACCTTTTTTTGCACTACGGGATCTGTAGCGTTATGGTCAAAGACAAATATATAAATCCATAGCGCTACAGGTCTGCAGCTAAATATATTCTTGAGCAATGTGGAATGCAAATCACTTCACTGTCGCTTCGTTTTAAACGTATTTTATTGTTATTTCTCTACCATGTTCACCCCTGTTGTTTTTTGAAATACCTTCACATATTTAATACTTGCTTTTCGACAGGGATAATTTTTGTAAACTTGGTATTTTGTAAATTGTTTAAAAAAAAACAGGTTATTTTTCGAACAGTTTTTAACCGTTGTTTAGGAAGGAAAAGAAAGAACATTTTGTTCAATAATTTATTGAGTTGCATTCTGTTTACAAAACAATTACTTGAGGTAACAAAAGAAAAACATGAGCAATACAAAAATACAAAAACATAAATTACATTTAAAATTTATTATGCATAACTAACGTTTTCATAGTCCCTTGGACATGCACAATAATGTGAAATTTGTTTGAAATTTAAGAATCGAAAATCAGAAAATAAAATTTCGAATTCCAAAGCATTTTAACGAAAGTTTGTAATTCTACTTATCTAATTGAATGATTGTACAATGTATATGAAATTGAATACACAGTCTATATTCGAAATATAAATTACATCTTTTTCTTATTCATAATACTTGTCTTTAATCTCCGGAAAAAGGACTCTTGACTTGAAAACGTAACGATTCAATCACAAAGTTTGGCATGGTGCATTGGAAAAAAGTTTTCATTGATTGTAAAGGAAAACTAAAAACTGATAATCTATTTATCCTCCTCTTCCTCGTGTCCGCCATCACCACCCATTCCACCATCACCACCATCGCCGCCATTACCACCATCGCATCCATAACCGTCACATCCGTAATCTCCATTACCATAACCACCGTCACCATCGCCGCTGTCTGAATCGCTGTCAGAGCTGGAGCTGCTGCTGCTGCTGCTTGAGTCGCTATCGGAGTCGCTACCATCTGATCCGTCAGAGTCGCCAGATCCGGAGCCGTTGTCGCCATCGCCAGAGTCGCCACCATCTGAGCCGCTATCGCTGTCGTCATCACAATCACTGTCGGAGTCAGAGTCAGAGTCGGAGCTGGAACTTCCTGAGTCAGAATCGCTTGAGCTTGATCCTGAGTCGGAGTCGCTTGAGCTTGATCCAGAGTCGGAATCGCTTGAGCTTGATCCTGAGTCGGAATCGCTTGAGCTTGATCCTGAGTCGTCATCATCATCGCAGTCTTCGTCATCTTCATCATCGGAGTCGGAGGAGCTTGATCCGGAGCTTGATCCAGAATCGGAATCTGAATCAGAATCAGAGCTGGAATCTTCATCATCGCAATCCGATTCACTATCATCATCACCTGAGCTAGAATCACTTGAACTAGATCCTGATCCGGAGCCAGAGTCGGAACCTGAGCTGGAATCTGAGCTTGAATCTGAGTCTGAGGAACTTGAGCTGGAATCAGATCCTGAGTCATCATCACAGTCTGATCCATCAGAATCGGAGTCGGAGTCAGAATCGGAGTCGGAGTCAGAACTGGAGCCGTCTCCGTCATCAGATCCAGAGCTGGAGTCGTCGTCTCCGTTGTCTCCGCCATCTCCTCCGTTTTCTCCGTAATCACATCCACCATTTCCACAGTCGTAATTATAATCGTATTCACATTCCGCACCGTTGCATGCTAAAAGTAGTGTTATACAAAGCTTACGTTAAAAAGTAGAACTTATGTTGTTTTGTAGATTTATTGTTTTAGAAAACTTGAAATAATAAATGAGGGATTTTTTTTTTAAAAAAAAAGTCAAAATCTCAATTTAATTTCATGAAAGAGCGAGAGAACACTTTTTGTCTACTGTTTTTAATTTTTACGTTTTTATCTTTAAAAAATATAGAACATTTAATTTGATCACGACTTACGTATTGGTGAACTCTGGGAAAGGGCCACAAGGCCTAAAAGAGCGAAAAGTATCAGACACGTGCGCATGATTCAAATAAACCCCGCTGTATTTTCTAGACTGTAAAAAAGAATAGCAATGGTTATTTATAACATGTTTGTAATTTTTAAGTTTATTTAACTACAATTTATTTCTTATAAGTTTAATTATTTTTTTTATCATAACCATAATTTTACTGATTTCTTTTTATGTAAAAGTCCAAATATGGTTTAAATTATTAATTTAGAAAAAAAAATATTTTTTTAAATTCAGTAGAATGAAGTTAGAAAATTTCAGAAATATCAACAATGGAAGACTTACCAATTTCTTCTAGTTTTCCAACGGCTGTTTATGATTTGCAAGCTCGTGCTGCTGTCTGAGACTAGAGCAGGCCCTTATATAGTGGGGATCAGAATGCCAGAATTCTGATTTGTCGCTGTTATTAGCATTTTCGTGCGTTAACAATTAAGGAAAGAAATAGCTCGAGGGCGATACGGACGAAGCGTACTAGTAATCACCCATAGGTTACAGTGTTTTCTTATTTTAATCGTTTTAAACTGCAGCAATAAAAAAATGTATATATTTCGATGTATATTTCAATGCTCATTTCGTACCGTTTTCATAAATTCCTTATTTTTTTCACTGGTTATGATTACTTCTTAAATATTAATAAATAGAATATCATTTTTGGAGCTATAATATATACATTTTTTATTAAATTAATAAAATATTTTTCTTTTTTAGTATGGAAAATCAATATTCAAAGATAAAATTTAAGGTATTTTAAAAAAAATTATATTCTAAAACATGTCTTTCTATAAATGTGTGTTACCTCTGGTCAATATTTTTATACTGCTTTGCTTTAATCTTTAAAATGTGTTACTTATCTTAAAGTGTGTAATTCGCAGGTATTATCTTTTTTTTTTTTTTCAATAAATCAATTTTATTTTACATAATTTTTTTGTTGTGTCTAGATTACTTCTTAATGTGTTATGGCATTTAATTAACCAATATTGAATATTGAAAACGAAAAAAAGACTGTCATTGAATCACAGACTGAAGATTTTTGGGTTAAATAACTATTTTTTTTCAATTTCACAACAAATCTTCCATGGCATTGTATTCAGTTTTGAGAATAATTTTTCATGTAAATTTGCAGAGAAACTTCTTATTTTTAATTAATTCGTCATGTAGTACTCTCATGTTAATAACAAACATTTTTAAACTTGGAAGCGTGTGAAATAATGTACTCATTAATGGAATATTGCACATGCATTGGAATCGTTTTTCTCAATTAAATTATATCATATCGAAAGTAAACACATCATCTATTTTTTGTGAACTTTTTTGAAAAAACGTAAAATTACCACACATTAAATTTTTGAAATGAAGTGTATAATGAATACATTAATTTCTCATTTATGGAAAATAGGGTTAAAAATAGCATGTTAGCCACTTATAGGACAGTTGTTAACTGTCAGATATTTGAAATATACTTTACATATGACATATCAAGATACAAATTATATTCCCATTAAATGTAGGCCTTCCTGCTGTCAGAATTACATTTAGACACAACGCTCCTTAACAAAAAATATGTTTTTAGAAGCCTCAAAAAGGTAAGTTTTCAATACTTCTCTAACACGTAATGTAATTTTAAAGCAATATTTCTGAAGTAATGTTCATGAACAAATTTAAAAGATAAAGTTCTTTCAAATAATTAATCGAATAATCTTGTATCATAAGTGTTTCTTACTTCAAAGATATTCGAAGTTATTAAAATAACCATGGAATTTTTTTCTATACTTCAATATAGAATATAACGCTTGGGAGAATTAGATCTCAAATTGAAATATTTGTTTATAACTTTTATGTTTCTCACATAAGACTACTTTGAATTTCATTGTTTGTAAGAAAGTGGCATAATTGAATTTCATTGTTTGTAAGAAAGTGGCATAAACTCTGAGCGCTCATATCTAAGCTTCTGTGAAACGTTATATGCCTAAGCTTAGACTGTGATGATGTGAAATTTTTACTGTAGAACTTCCTATCACTTTGGACTTTTAGTCAGTACGTGTTTTGAAAATCTAGATGAGAGGAAGAAAACACGCGGTTTGACCTTCCACTCGACATTCGGTTATGTATTATATATTAAAACCTGTTTCTTTCATTCATATGTCGATTCGATAAATTTCAGTGAACTTGAAATAAACAACAACATAGATTCTACCAAATTTTATATCTATTTGGATGTTTTACTGTCTTTAAACGAAAAGTACAAACTGACGAATAATAACTAATATCTCACTATCTCTGCAAGTGGGGTTTGAGTCTCTCAAAATATTTGATTCTCAAAGGCATAAAATAAGTAAGATCGATTTTTTAAACCGAGGAAGGCTACTGATAGATAAATTGATGATACAAGGATTTCAGCAACCCTGTTTTAAGACAGCATTTTGTAACTTCTGTGTTCGTAAGGACATTATGAGCAAATATAATCTTGTGTTGACATATATCATACCAATTTTCATGCCATTCCTTTTGTTCTTACTTTGAAATGTAGAATAATCTTTCTACATATTAAAAGATAAGACTAAATGCAATGACACATATGGAAGTAACAAACAGTATTCAAGACCAAAAATCCTTAAAACAATACAAAATAGGAGCAGAACAAACAAGCACCTCCAAAACATCAGAGGTGGGATCAGTTGCAATGGAGGAGTGAGCATCCCCTGCCGAAGTGTGAAAGATCAACAGGGGTTGTTCTTTCTACTCCTAGGCATCTGAAATCAACGTAAGAAGTCTTTGATTTCCTTATCCCCTCTCTTTTAATAAAAAGATCTATCACTTCTTGTTACTAACATCTTTTCTTTGAATTTGCAATTACTTTCATGGATCTTTTTGTGTGGACGCAATCTAAGATCAAATTTTTCGATGATACGTTAAACGAACAATCGAAGAAACAAAAGTCATTATTTATTATCTTTTTTTTCTCAACGAATTTTTTTTCTCAACAAATGGTTTGGAAATTTTTTTTTTTTGAAAAATTTTTGAAATAATTTTGAAATTATTAATGATATTATTATTTGTTTTATGTTGTTCATGCTTAACTCAAGATAAGAAGCATTTAGATTAAACTAATGTTCAATATTTGTTTGTGTGTTGTTTAACGTCTAAGTCGATAATTTTTCACTCATATGGAGAACAGTAAGGTTAATTTCAGAAAATCTAAAAAGGTATGTGAAAAACCACCACTGATAGAAGTTATTTTCTCTCCATACACATTTAAATACTGTTTTAATTCAATTTTCTATCTTCTTATAATAGGCTTTTTTTTTTAATTCACTGGGTTCTTGCATATAATAATGTTTTTCATCTTTATTCTGTTGTTAATGTTGATGGAGAATCAATTCAAAGCAAGAACATGATCAGGAAATCGATGAAGGATATTTTATCTAGTTAAAATAATATGTAGATTGATGAAAAATTTATTATTTCTGAGAAAAAATGCAAAAGATGCAACGACGACAATTTCTTATTGGTCCTTAAAAATTACAAAAATAAAAGCAATACATAATGCCTCCATAAAATTAATTGAATTGAAAACGATCGTACTAACTATCTCTTCAAAATGCATGTATGTTTGCCTAAAATATCTTTCAGACGCATTTCTTTAACTGATTAAAATATGAACGGGACTCTTTCCAATTGCTTTCAACAGCATGCAACTTCATTCATGTGCATTAATTTTAATTAATTTCTACAGGCTATATTATAATAAAAAATCAGAATGTATTTTTTACTTGACAAAGCAAGACGAATTGATTGATTCAGTGTATGTTGTTTAACATCCCTCTCGAGAATTTTTCACTCATATGGAGACGCCACCACTGGCCGGTTGAGAGCTACAAATTTTGTCCTATACTCGTCACTTAGGGCCATTGAGCAGGGAGGAATCTTTTTCGTGCCAGCACCTACTGGGACACGGGACCTCGGTTTATACGGTCTCATCCGAAGGACCGGTCTCTACGTCCCACAGTTGGATTCGAACCCGCGACGTAAGGATCAACTCCTTACTTCGCGATTCTAGAGCAGACGCTCTAACCACTGCGCCACGGGGGCGACCAAAGCAAGATGAATGCTTCAAAATATACATATATTTTCTCCTTTTTTCGCATGAAGCGAAGATGAAACCAGTGACCTTTTATCAATTAAGTACATGTAAAGTGAGCTCTCTACCTACGCAAGCTATCAAGCCTAGACCGCTCGGCTATCTAGGCAAGTCTTAAAAGTTGCTTTTGATGCCGATTTTTTTCCCTTTAAATTATAGCTAACGATACACTTTTTAATGGTATAATAACTATTGTTTTTTTTTCAAACTTATTAAATTAACAATTTCTATTGATACAGAAAGTTCAAGCCAAGCAATTTCACTTTATAAAATATCCTCTTCGTTCTCCAACCCGGGGTTGAAGTTTCGACCTACGGATTCTGTCTCCTAGCAGTACAGACACAGCTTTGAATGCCGATGAAATTGTGGCTAAACTGCCTTCACAACACGATCCTTAAGAATATATATATATTGTATATATACATTTTCAAGACTCACTCCTCCATGGCACCTGATCCCACCTATGCATGATGTTTCGGAGGTCCGTGTTTGCTCTGCTCCTATTTTGTATTGTTTTACGGACTTTGATATTGAATACTGTTCCTTATCTCCATATCCTTCAAAGATGTACCTAAAGGTCGACAGGAATTCGTCGCTTCTATCTATACATTGCTTTGTTAACAAAACATGTATTGTAATTAAAATGACTTATTTGCAAAGATGTCCTAGCAATAGGATGTATTTTGGCCGATGGTTGATACCAATTGTCAGGCCGTCCACCTGATCAGTGCAATGGGCTCATGCAGATTCGACCGGTTAAAAGGGGTTGGCTACTTCAAGAAGGCGCCTGATCCCATCTCTGGATTTCTAAGTGTCCGTTATATGCTTTCTTCACTTACAGCCATTGACCAGTGATGGATCTTTAATATTTCGTGCTAGCATCTAATGCGACACGGGACCTCGGTTTATTTATATGGTCACATCCGAAGAGACGGTCTCCACGTCGCACAGTGGGAATTCAACCCGCGACGAGTCTAGAGGAGAACTGTAACCACTGCGCCAAGCGGGCGACTTTTTAATCTAATGTAAATAGTAAAGGTAACATTCTTCTTGTCTTTTACAGTAACAAATGGCATAATATGGCTTTTAATATTAGGTTGTATACTGTTCCTTTATTCTCAGTCAATAAAGCCTGAAAGGTTGAAAGTTGTCTTCTGAATCTCTGTTTTCTTTTTGTTTAAAATTGTTTAATAATCCTACACGTAAAATCTTTGAAACTGTAATTAGAAATTAAATCAAATGATAATTGAAATACCTTAAGAAATAGTCAGAATTTTTGTATTTCCTCCGTTTAATATTACATGAAGATTAAATTACTCAATAAAAATATTAGTAAACTCTTTTTGTTGGTCACTAGTGATAATCAAACGACCGCCCCTATTTTTTTTAGGAGCTTACATCAATGATGTCGATTGTTTCTCTATATAGAAAATATGGGGGGTATTCTTTACTGAATGTAACAATGTGTAATATTGTTTTATGCTAATTGTCTACGGATTTTTCAGTTTTTTACGATCTCGACATTGAGGAAGCGGCATGTGAGACAAATCAGCAGGAGATGCTCAATCCCCCCATGCACCTGATTTTTTTCAAGGCTCGTTCTCTATTCTCGATATTAATTGTTGTGATTGACTTTGAAATCAAATACTGTTTGTCATCTCAATATTTATTTTTTTTTTAAATTCTTTGTATTATAAATCAAAATTACTTGTATCAATAAAAACATATGTCCAATTAAATGTTGAATACAGTTGGAAATATGACAAAATTTACTGTTTTGCATTACTCTGAGTACCTTAGATCGTTAAGGTTTTATGTTACTAAGCAAAACGTTTTCGCTATATTGACAAAAAAAGATACAAAGAAAGCAATATAGTTTTTTTCAACATATTCAAAGTATATTAATTTTTTTAGCTTCTTGGAAAAAAAACCATTCAAGATAACATATTCACTGAAGTATTCTTGTACATATCGATTTCACAATGATACATGACGATACGTACATGCATTGCCGTTCGGTTAAAAACACTGTAATGAACAAAATACACCTCCCTTATTGCAAATTTTGTTGGCGAATCGTGATAGTAACCATTATGTGAATAATCATGATGACAAATTATATTTTAATTCCATAGCTGCTTTAAACTGCTTCATTTTATATACAAGTTCACTTTGAAGAGGTAAACAGGACAATTAATAAAACTTGAGAAAAGGCCAAGAAAATATTTCCCATTAAAGGTACATGTATATACAACAGTTAATTCATAGGAGTTGAAAATAACATGCAGTTTGGTTAACGGGAAATAAGAAAAGAATATTTACATCATAATCTATCAACCATATAATTGAAAATTAACTGTTTTGTGCCAAGGTATGCAGAGTGGGTTGGTAAATATTATCTCTGCACATGATTACATTATTTATCATCAAGAAATAATGTATATTATATTATGATCCGTCCAAGTTCTATGCTTTTTCAGATAAGAATGTGTGTGATTGAGGTTATGTGTAAGAGGGTGTGTCTGCAGATAGCCTAATAGTTTCCTCTTATTTTCAGAATAAAGATGGATTCTATGCCTGAGGTTCGATAAAGGCACGAAACAAGTGAACCGTTGGTATATTTTTTCTTTCATCTGATGGACTGATTTTCCTAACATGAATAAATCGAGGACTACCCAAAAAGTCAACGACGGTTTTGCGACTGAACACTTTGGGAAATCTCGCATACCACCAGGAATATTTGAGATATTCTAAAACAGTTAAAAGATATTTCAATGGGATGTATCCGTTCACCTTCAAACATCGGTGAGTGTGCAATATTTGTGATTATGAACAATAGTTAATAGTTTCTATCGCATTCTTCCTTGTACAAATAAATGAAAAAAAAAATAAAAATATGCCTACACCATGTTGTTTATTTTCTGAAATGCTTATAATTTTTTGATAAGATTTAAAATTAAACTCTCCTTACGTAAGACATAACGATCACTAGTTCATGAATTAATAATTCCGTTCGTTTATACTTTGATAAGAAATCACCAGCGTGGGTTTGCTGTTTCCAGAATAGTTTTCTACTAGGATTGGACGTCAATGGGCTTTAGTTAAAAATCTGTCTTACAAATTCAGTATTTTACCAATGTCGACAGGGAAAGCTAAATCATCTATGACATCTGATTCGTTTCTACGGTTTAATTAGACTTCGTTTGCTTTGCTCCTAATTTGTACTTGAAATGGACCTTTGAGCATGATTTTCGTTCGCTATTTTTATATCTCATGCAGTAACAATTTAAGTATATATTGTATATCATTATCTTAAAGACAAAGTTCTAGTATATTGAAATGAAAAACTATTTAAAACTGTGCATTGATAAGTCGAAGTACTTTTAGAAAAAATTAAAGATCTCAAAGTAAATTTTGCGAGTGGCTAAAATTATTTGTCCTTTAATTAAATGGATATATTTTCACATATTTTTTTGTTATGCATCACGTTTGATTTTTTATTTTCAAGCTTTATTGCTTGATAAATCTAAAGCTCTAGATTTTTCAACAATAAAATCTAGGTTTAAGACATCAATTTGTATTCGTAAAAGCCAGAGGAAGCAAAAAAGCTTTCAAGTAGAGCGTGACGAAAAAATAAACGAATCTTAGGATAATTAACGGAAAATGCTTCAATTTTGATAACAAAATAGTCTAAATTGATGTTTTTTGATTTCTTCAATAATGATTTTTGTAAAAAATTAAATTAATACCTCTACGTAAGACTAAGATATTCAAAACATATTAGAAAATATTATTACACTATAAATTAAAAAGATAAAGATGGATATTTTATGCAGTATTAAAATTACAGATACAACAACATCCAAATTTAAAAATGTCATGTAATTTAACACTAATGCAAAGAGAATATATCATTGTAATTGCTTTAAAAAAACTCGTTTAAAAATTTGTTCCTTACAGACACGTCTTATAGGAGCAATTGTATACTCATTTTTGGACGGACAAATAAATGAAGAAGACAGTAATGGAAAATAAATTTGAAAATGATAAATAGTGTAAGATTCTAAACGTCGACTTGCAACACGACATATGCAAATGGAACAAATGTCATTTTCAAAATTTAAAAAAAAAATGGATGACATCAATTAGACAGTGTCAACTTTAAACAATTAAATTTGTTATTCTTAGTTACAAATGACCGTAACCAGAAGAGAGACATTGTAACAGGTTATTCGTGATTTAGTTAATTGTTTCAAAAGGGATTACACATTTATGTTTTTTACGGTGGCACCCACATTTGAAATCAAAATGCAACCAAAGAAGGAAAAGTATCAAAATATGGACTTCGATAGGTTCGACATATTTTGAATATTGATGTTATTTTTTCCATATTTGCTATCAAATTGATATAAAGAACTATATGCGGTATTAACCAACATTTGCCCCCCAAAATCAAACTTTGATGGAGTAATATTTAATTAAGTCCTTAAACAGGGGAGTATATACTGACTTCAAAGCACTGAATAATTTCATAAGTAATGACGTCATATGTATAAAAATATGACGTAAATTTCAGTTTTTTATGAATTTTGCAGAAAAATGTACAATTTCATATTTTAAATAAAAGTCACCGAGCGCATGTGTGTTCAGGATTAATATTTTGATATAATGTGTAGAATGATAATATCAATGAAATATGTCAATATTGTTCCTGAACACACATGCGCTCTATAAATTCTAAAGCTTAAATTGTTGAAATTTTGTCCATTTTGTCCTCTTATTGAAAAAGGATATAAAATCGGACTAGTTTGTGACGTCATAAAAACAGAAATTGTGAATACACTGCTCTGGAAATATAATATTTTCTGTTAACTTATATTTCTCGTACAATTTATTGAATTCAGCACATTTCAGGAAGTTTTCAAAATTTGATTTTTGTGGGGGCAAACATATGCAATATACCGCATATAGTTCTTTGCGACACTTTTATAGATAAAAAACAATAAGCTGAAACATATTAAGGCCATCTTTAAAATGATGTTTAGTTGCCTTCTCCTGACTACAGGTAAAATTATTGAGTCGGTAGCTAGGCGGGGCATTCTTTTTTCCATAAAATTTCTACATATTTGTTGACGGGATAAGAGGAATAACAAGAAAACATATTGTCCTGGAATGTAAGAAAGAAAAGTTTTGAGTTAAGCCATTTTTAGTCAGTCGGTCCGGAGAGGTCGCCCAAACATTTTATTTGAAGATAGCATAAGACAAAAAATATTTTTATTAAATTATCAATAGTAGCATCCATTTGTAATTCACTGGTAGAATGTCTAAGTTATATAATTTAACAATTTCAATCATTTGATGCAATAACAATTTGAAAGTATGATTATATCATGCGTATTACTAATGAGCATTTTCTAACATTGAAAAAGTATATAAGATAAAAGTATAAATATTGAGTTTTTCTTTTTAATTCTCAGTATTTGGTACGTGGTATTTAAACCAAGGAAAAATGTTCAAATAACACAGTATCAATGAACAGCAATAACTGTTATTAACTTCCATAGAGAAAATAAATGTCAATAACATGACTTGTTCAATTAATTTATCTTGCCCTTTTAAAATGTTAGGAATACTTTAAGGACAGATGATACAAACAAAGAAGTGGATGCCTGGATAGGTATATATTTTTTCCTAATATCTTTGCAAATGATACAAATAACAGATTTCTAGAATATAAAGAAATCGTAAACCTTCTCCGATGTTCAAAACTCTGCCCTTCTGAACCCATCCTTATTAATCTATACAAATATTTTTTGCTTCAAATCCCAGTTTTGTGAAAGAAATATTGAATAAAAAATTAAAAACTACGCGGTGAAACTTATTCATTTTATTCATTTGAACATGACCCAAGTTGTTATTTTCAAATTATTTGACAAAAGTTTGTTTGTATCATCTGTCCTTAATTGAAAAGCAAATTGAGCACTACATGTATAATAGTTCTGTAAATTTCTATTAATTAGAATTCATATCTAAGGACAGATCACTCTAACTGCATAACATAGAATCGGAACGTGTATAGAGGGCTTTTGACTTTTGGCTTTGTACTTCATTTAATGATATGTTATGTTAGTAATGTTACAGCGACTGAGAGTATGACTTCATACCACGTTAACAATGGAAGTTCATAAGGACATTCTACAAGACGGGAAGTCCATTTTCTTTTAAGTATTGAATTATACAGATTCTTATTTTTGATTTGACCTCGTCTTTACAGTGTCAATGACAACAAAGAAAATAATCTATTCAGAAAATTTATTTCTTTCTATAGATAAACTGAAGTATTATTATTCTGTTAAAAAGATATTGTTTGAAAAATACATTTTATCATCCTCTCTGCACAACATTCGCATCAACAACTTAGAAACTGTAAAACTGTGTCGCAGTAGATTACGTGAAATTCGTATAAAAACACTTTAACACTTAGAATATTTAAAAATAAAACAGGTAAGAGATAATTGCGGTTTGACTTTTCTAGTATTCCATTGAAAACTAAATCAAACTTTATTTTAAACCACTTTAGGTACATCTTCACACTTTTTCAAATTAATTTATAACATTTAGTCTTATAGATCTATTTCTGAAAACCCATATCAAGCAAAATTAATGACTAATTTTACTCGGATTTCAAAAAAAATATTTAAATTCATGTTGACGTGTTTGGATATACTTGAGTTTAATTATGGTGTATATACAGCAAGAGGTAATGTTAAACTCTATGCTAATAATTTAAACTGGTAGACGTATTTTCGTACGTTGAAAATTTACATGCAAATATAATTTTGAAACAGAAGTAAGGGATTGTTTCTAAAAAAATGTATTAACTATCTTTGTGACAGCTACACCACAAATTAAATGGAACAAATGCGGCGCAAGTGAATTTTTATCTTTTTTAATTTCCATATGCGTCGGATTTAATGCACAATTGCCTACCGAATGTCCGAGAGATATATGAAATGATTTATTATTTTAATAAAATAAGATACAAGAAATTTATCTTTTGTTTTAATTTTACCATTACAGATGAGGAAAAGTTTTGTTCTATATAGCAATGGAATTACTGTGAGATGACAAAGACGAATGTGCTGTTGGACAATATATGGTTTTCAGGAAATGTACATGCATTAATTACATCCACAAAAACCTCTCTAATTAAAATCCTGCGACGCTATATATATTTGGAATAAATGTAGTTACAAAACTTTATTTCTAGTCAAATTCATTCATAAACCATAACTAAAATCTGAGAAAATAAAAAGGTTTTCTCTATTTTCAATTTTATTAAGGCTTTCCGGAATTTTCCTTCTGATTTCGTCGTTTAGAATATTTAGATGCTCACTCCTCCATGGCACCTGATCCCACCTCTGATGTCTCGAAGGCCCATGATTGCTCTGCTCCTATTTTGTATTGTTCCATGTTCTTTTGAGCTTGAAGACTGTTCGTTATCCAGATATATTTCATTTCAATTTATAGGCGGTCCTAAAAGTTACAAAAAATATATATCGTTATCCAGATATATTTCATTTCAATTTATAGGCGGTCCTAAAAGTTACAAAAAATTATATTTTATGTAAGTTTATGTTAGATTGTGTCTTAATTGTTACAATTTTATCTCTTGCTCAGAAATACAGCGTTCAGTTTGCCACAGGCAAATGAAACAGTTGAGTACCACACAATATATTCATGATTATGTTTGTTCGTTGATCAAACGTTTAATTTGTGTTTTGTATTTCTTATTCTTATTTTTTGATACCTAAAAAAAAATAGAATAAATATGACACCGTATTTAACAATGGTCATGAAACTTTAATAATGTAAAACAATTTCAAATTGTTTTTTAGGTACAATTATATTTAAGATATGATACTGTATTTAACAATGGATATGAAACTTAAATAATGCACAGGGTATTTTTTTTCTTCATTCAAACTATTTCTATTACTATAATTATAGAATAAAAACCCCTGATCATACAAGATAATTAGAATCAAGATGATTTCAGTAAATTTTCAATTGTATACGAATCTTATTTCATCCTAATATAACAAAAATATTGAAGGTGAAAATGGAAATGAACAGAAAACCTCAAGAGAATCAGTAAAATACGATGTCACTTCTAATTAAACATTGGTCCTAAATCTATAAATTCACGCATTGAGACGTCTAAGAAAACCATTTAAATGTAAATAAGTCTGAATAAGATAGTTGATATGTACGGAAATCAAACAATAAAATATGTTGTATTCCTATTATAAATTTTTAGATCCATGTTACCGCAAAGAAAAGCAGTGGCAATGGTTTGTTTCATGTTTTAAATTGATAACGAGATTCTGAAAATCAGTCCCTACTTCAATTTTGATCCCTCATTTGTAGTTGTATGCGACAATGTTTTAACTTCAGTAACATATGTTTTGAATTAACGTTTACAAGCATTTGAATTACAGATTATGACAAGCAGGGTGATATATTGTACTGCGTGCTGAAAAATATTATATATTAAGGACATTTATAAATGGTCAGGTACTTTTATTTGGTTATTCATTTGTTTCAGATAAAGATATTGCACTAAAATTAATTCGAGGAAATGTTTGACGTAAAAGTTTGAATAAATTCCTTCAATTTTATAGGCTTTTTCTTGGCTGCTGCAAATGAAATTTTTTTGGCGAGTAATTTCTTCTGTGTTAAAAGAAAGATTTATGTTAGAAATATATACTGGTAAGATTTCTTTAAATTCTTTTTCTTAAAATGCATTTAAATAATCTTCTTTTTTCATTTTAGTAAATCTGGACAACAAAAAGGGTGTTTGAAACCGACACTCTTATTGGTGTTTTGAAAATGTCCCCTTTACTATATTTTCTTAAAGCTCAACTTTTATAAATGGTGAAATATAGAACAGGCAGAGACTTTGGAATAAGTACTATGTAGGTTGTCTAAATGCGAGGCCTTGTCATCAAGTACAGTCTTTCATTAAGGTGAATGCTGACTGGCTCTTTTGCAATATAAATTTTAAGATTATATTTTCCAGTGAATAGTTTTTTGGAATTTTTAGTCTGCTTGAACATGCCAAGAAGCACACGGTCGGTGTGACCGCTCGACAAGGGATGCTTCCTCCTTCATGACACCTGGTCCAACCTACGACGAATTAAAGGTGTTTGCTCTTCTCTCGATTTGCAATGTTTGAATTAACTTTTGAGCTTAAATGCTATTAATTATCTCCATATTTCATTTTAGAATTAACACTTGCTGTGGCCTTCAACTCTACATTTAGATAAATCGACGACGTATTGTCAATAAATGATGGTAATTTCTATTCTTATGTCGATATGTCCCGGTGAGCTTGAGACAAAAGATACCACAGAGTCTGACAGTCTGTTTCATATTTAGATATTTTACTTGAAAAGGAAAATAAAAGTAATCTAAGAACCATGCTTTATGACAAACGATAGGACTTAATTTTTCAATCGCCAACTTCCCCTCACTTATGCCCCAAAATACCTTCATCACCTGCATACGAGGTTTATATCTCACAGTAGATTCGAAACGCAAGGACATGCTCTACGTACGAACAAACTTTAAAGCGAGGTAGATTATTGACAAGTTTTATGGTCGATACTATGACCTTGTCAGCAAATACAAATTATCATTAAGTCAAATTCTATAAGTCAAATTCTGACTGATGTTTTTCATACTAATTCTAAGGCTAGACACTAAATTGACGACGGATTTTTTCGTTATCTCGATCGTTGCAAGGAGCACACGGCGGGTGTGACTGGTCGAAAGAGGATACTTTTTCCTCCATGGCACCTGATCCCACCTCTAATTTTGGAGGTCCGTTTTTTTCTCTGTTCCAATTCTGTATTCTTTAATGGACATTTGAGTTTAAATACTGTTCGTTATCTCTATATATTTCATTTAAGGATATTAGATAAGAGTTTATGTTTAGAATCAGATTTAAAATAAGAAAGAAAGAGAGTGAGAGAGGGATAGAGAGAGAGAAAGGAGAAAAAAGATATATAAATGAAATATAGATAAAATGAAGATATCAAGCTTAAATGCCCATTGAAAGCAAATACTTATCTTACTATTAATTATAAATAAAGGAAATACACATACATGTATCTTTCCAGACCGTATTTACAACTTGGTTAATGAATGAGCGCGAGAGAATGAAGCCCTTAATATCCCATATTCATTCACGAAGTCACAAAAGGTTAAAAAAAAAAATAGATATAAATCAACATTAATGATCTTGTCACGTTTGACCGTAAGAGTGTGTTGTTCTTAAAGATTGTAGCAAACAAAATGTCAAGCAAAACAAATGATGTTATTTAATTTTATGTAATGCACAACGACCAAATTTAAAATGTAATATAAATGTAATTAGCAAATAAATGTTCTGTTTTATTCAAAAAGTAATCTAAACCGTGATTTTTTTAAATTAATATTTTTGTTTTGAATTAACCATTCTTAAATTAATATTAATACTATTATCATACTATTAGGTAACTTAAGGTCACTGAACGGTTATTTCTCTCAAGATAAACTACTGTTTCACAAATTTATCATTTTTATTCAATTAAAGACCATGCCGCAGAATATGTTTTCAATGAATGAATATATATTGTTATGTTTAAGTACACATTTACATAACAGGCCTATAGTAACTGTTGTCACACGAGGAGTAGATGTAAATTTCATAACAGGAAATGAAGCTCAATATGAGCTCTTGTTGACAGTTTCTGCAGCTGGTATTTTTGTGTGTGTCAAAGGCTATGTACATTAAGCTAAGTTTGCAAAATTCAGCCCTCTTCTTCCCCAAACGAAAACAAAATAATCAAAATATAAAAAAGGGAAAGTCAAATTCGCCTGCGAAGCATTTACTGTAAGTGTTAAAAACTCTCAAATTTGATGATTGAAGATATATGTTCTTATTAATAACCTTCATGTCCATTTCTGAAAGCGGCTAACATACATAATATATATAAGCAAACGGATATTTTTTTTAAATCAAATTGTCCTAAAATGAGTCAATTTAAAAAATTAAATAAATGTGTTATCAAACGATCGTGTGATTGTTATGTATTTTTCGATTAGGAACTTAGGAACTTGTGTAAGGAGATGTTATTAAAAGCTTTAACAGTAGGTGTTTCTAACTCCATGCACCGAAGTCAAATCTGACCCTTAGAGAGGTCAAACTTTCAAAAACAAGTACCTGCATTAGATTGCATTTGTACTGGCAAAAATAAGTTTTCAAAATGATGAATCAGAAAAAAATCTATATAAATTTATGCTCTTGGATTGCAAGAAATTTAAATGTAAAAATGATTTAGGAATGTGGTCGAAAGGAAAGTAACCTCTTTCGAACATGTCTTTCCTTTCACATTTAATGTCTTGCCATTAAGATTTATATTTTTCCAGCGTGATGATGTAAATATGAACTACTTCCTTCTTTTAAAATATGATAAGTATGTCCAATTTAATTCAAATATTTCTTTTTCTATTTGAATTGTTCTTTTTATTTTCAGTCGGTTGGTTATTGATTGTTTTGTTATTCATTTCTTGAGATATTCTTTTGTTAATCTTATTCTGATTCTCTGTTCTTAGTCCAATGCTTATTGCAGCCCGGAGGACCGGGCTGCTCTATACATATAAGTTTAAGTGTTGGTGTATGGGGATTGGGGTGGGAGTAGTTATTCAGAATTAAAGGTTTTCTTAACATTGAAAAGATTGTTAATCAGAATATTTTTTTCCCTTTTTAAATTACGAGACACATAATATGTTTACTTCCATAAAGTGAATCTTAAAAAATATATGTGTTTTTCATATTTAATATATAAAATTGCTTATCATTTACCATCGAAAAAACGACAGGCCCCTGTTTTTAGAACATCGAATTTTACTTCTCGCATAAAAACGTACTCTGCACAGCTCATGTTTTATATTCTAAAATTGAAAATTAAATACTTTTTTGAATACAGGTGATGCGTGTGTCTAACTTCAATATATTTTATGCAGCCAACATTTATTCGAGGAATTGAAGTTTAAAATGACACTGTCTTTGTTTGATATTTATCCAACTGTAAGTTTTCAAAATATTCGCGATTATCGTCTCTATGTATTAGACACATGCCTTTTCACACATATCGAAGCGGTTTGATGAAAAGTTTACTTTATATACTTCCCGAAATTGATGGTTACATCAATATTTTCTTGTATTTTACTGATTTATATTTTCGAAATGAAAACGCATTGATCAG